CAGCATAGAGATAGACTTCACAGTAGCTGGGGCAAGGGACGTCATGTATATAAAGTGAATAAAGGATTGGTCCTAAGACCGAGCCCTGAGGAACACCGGCTATTACGGGCCGTGTTGCTGACAACACATTGTTAATTTTGATCCGAAACTTCCTTCCTTCTAGAAAAACAGACCTGCGGAAATGAGTGACATGGATTTTCGTACTGGTCATTAAAAATCCAGAAAACACTCCCGTTATCGCGATTGCAATGATCCTTGCCAGTTGGCGTTGGAAGTTACAATGAATGGAAAATGAGAATGTTCTCTAGTACTCAGAGCATTTGTCATAGGTTAGGGCTCATTGTACCTCTATTCACTTTCGATCCTGACAACTTTTCTGTGAAGTTAGAAATGACCCTATTCACTAGATGCCTTCTACTTCCTCGATTCCACATTATAGGCTGTTTATCGTAGTGTGAATACATTCATACCCCTGACATATGCTAGTGAAGTTATTGTGACCATCATCAGCAACATTTGATAATCCAAATCAAGACATTGACAGAGTTGTATAGCTCAGGATCAAAGATTGTTGCTTCTGTTATTCATTTTCAATGATTCCGTAGCGAAGGCCAAATATAGGAATTATTACACACGTCTTGTGAAGTATTTTTAAAGTAACATAGACTCCATCCTAAAATATACTAAGTGACATATAAATCCGAACACCCAGTTTAAATGGTTTTATTTAAATGAAATTTTTTATAAGTACTTAATGAAGCATAATAAGTAAATGATAAAAATTTCAAAATGATTGCTCTGCTTTAAAGCCCTTTGACCTTTAATAATGTGTGGATGCACCCTGATGTGCTACGCATTCTCCAACGCGCCTAGGCATGCTTCTGATCAGGTGGTCAATGTCCTCCTGTGGTATCTCATTCCAGGCAACCACCAACTCCTCTCGAAGTGCTTCTAGAGTCTGAGGAGGACGTTGCAAATTGAGCAATCTCCTAACCATCATATCCCACACGTGCTCAATTGGGGATAAGTCAGGAGATCTTGGTGGCCATGGTAACAATGTGACATCATTATGTTGAAAGAAGTCTATTGTGACTCTTGCAACATGTGGTCGGGCATTATCTTGTTGGAAAGTTGGATCTGCCAGGGTGTCAAGATAGGGTAAAAGATGGGGTTCCAGAACTTCGTGGATATAACGCTGCGCGTTCATGTTACCTCTGATGAAGATTAAAGGTGACCTGGAACCATAAGCTATAGCACCCCAAACCATAACTTCAACAGTGCGATGAACATGTCTTTCAACGAAAAACTGTGGATTCCTCCTTTCACCACATCGCCTTCTAACCCTGGCACGACCATCCTGCATGCTTAAACAAAATCTAGACTCGTCACTAAAGACAATACTGTTCCATTCATGATCCCAGAGTGACCGTTGCCTGCACCACTCAAGGCGATTACGTCGGTGTTCTCGAGTTAAAGGGAGGACCCAGTGTGGCCGGTATGAAAACAAGCCAAAACTTCTAATTCGTCGGTAAACACTTCGCATGCCAATAGGTCTTCCGTGTTCTGCAAACCATTCATTTGCAATGGACCTGGTAGTGGAGAAACGGTCCCTTAAGGCCAATAATCTTAGGCGGCGATCTTCACGGTCTGTTGTTCTACGGCGGCGTCCAGTGCCCCTTGCTCTTTGCGTACGGCCTTCTCGAAGCCATGCCTGACAACACCTAACCACAGTGTCTACACTTCTTTGTACTCTAACTGCAATTGCCCGAAAAGACAGTCCAGCTTCCCGAAGTTCCACTATACGGCCCCTACCAAACTCACTAAGTTGACGAAATCGTACATGTATCCGTACTCTAGGCATCGTAACCGATCGTAAAGGATGTCAAGAACCAAAATCCGTCAACGTTGATTCTTTACTGCGGCTGAAATATTCATTTTTAGAGCGTTAGTGAATTAAAAAAAGCAGTATAAAAACCGGAATGTTCAACTGATAAGGCTGAAAATTTGTTCACTTGTTATTTACAGTAAGATAAATACATTCACCAACTTTTATTAAAATAAAACCATTTAAACTGGGTGTTCGGATTTATATGTCACTTAGTATAGTATGTCTAGTCCCATATTTTGGGTGCCACCTGGAGCTTGTGTTACATCATCTAGTTTTTCCAGCAATGAGAATCCCGAATCGTTTGTTACTATTTACCAGATCAGATTGTTGCTGAACTTAGCAACATGGGTTAATTTTTATAGATGACTTTCCATCCTACGCCTTTTAGCTCCAAAATTCTGACAGTGAGCATCAAAATATTCGCTGTGCTGTGATTTAAAATATGCGCTATGAAACTGTCACTCGCAGCATTCTTTGTTCATTTACTATCAAAACATCAAATGCTAGTAATGTTTTCTAAATGCACTACTCATCGTCGCTTCTGAAGGAAGTCCAGAGGACCTTAGAGATTAGGTCATAGCATTGATAGTTACTGCAAAGTCAGCGTCAACAAAGAAAGGAGAAAGAATGTATTGTCCCTAAACTACTGTCCCAGAGCTTACAATGTTTATAGAGACCTCGAACGATGATACGTGTATAGGTTTTGGTGTATTGCTACAAGAATATCATTTATAATAAACTTACAATATCATCTCAAACCGGGCTTCTCAACAACCAACAACGCTCAAAGGATGCCACTTGAAGTTGATATTAGTGGAATGGCAAGATGTCAAATCGCCAAGCTGTTAACAAGAACTACTATAAGCAATAGCTACAATAGCTAGGCGCTGCTCACCCAGCGGACAGATGTGACGTACATACATACGATTAGACTATGCACCCTACTTAACCAAATGACACACCACCGGACGGACTGCACCGAACCAGCGTTGTCGATTAGATTAACTTACACTTCCTATGATAATCGAAAAATTACAATAAAATAAATTTGATGACAGCCTCTGCCCGTGAGACGTTCGTTCATGATAAGAATGGCCAACTCTAGCAAGGTTCAGATACTTAATAATAATGACGTATCTCTTTATTTCCCATTATATAACTTGCCAACCTTTTACTGACTAATAAATTTAGACGGTTTCCGACCAGTCAATCAGTTTAAAGTAGTGTTGCTAGCTGCTTAAGGTGGTGTGAGAAAAATAATATTTAAGTGGGGCGGCTCGTTGTCTAAGAAACGAATACTCTTTTGATAATATTTTACTCCTTAGGCGGAGGGCAGGACGAAGATGCCCCATATTGGGCGCTCATGGATGTCCAGGCGACTTTTTTATTTTCTACATGAACCTGTTCGTTTGGGTTAATAAAGATATACAGGGTGTTCCTTAATGATATGCGAATATTTAAGGGTGTGCATCTACATGAAACAATAATTTTAGTTTGCTATATAAACTATACGTATAGTCCAAAAACTCAAATAATTATTTTCCCCATGGGCGCGAATTTACGCAAGATGGTCGCCTGACGCGTGCTGGTTAATAGGATTATCGGTTATTATACAGGGTGACTTCGAAGTTGAGTCATTTATTTTAACAGTGAGTAGATCTGATCAACAGAAATGTTTTTTTCCTTTAACATTTTTGTGGTAAAATTAAAGTAACAAAGTTATAGCCCTTTAGAAGTTTGAGTACCGCACTGTCTCAATAATAATATTATGTGCTCGTGTTTGGCAACAACGGATATAATCCGCCTTATCGGTTCATCCCATCGGAAACAAAAAAGCGAAAGAATTTGAAACGCTGATCACGATGTTTTTATTCAGTCGATGTGTCAGTCGGTAACGCGTGAGTGAATAGTGGTGTTTGTTGCGTGGCTCAAACGAAATAAAAAATGGCACATGTTTATGCGGATCGGTTTCCCAATCGAGTGCAACCAACCCCTCGTGCCTTTGTTAATGTAGTACAACGGGCTCGTGAATCAGGTGACTTAAGACCTCACAGGAGAGGGCATGCCGGTGCTCCAAGACCTCACGATCAAATACAGGTCCGCACTGAAATACTTGTTGGGAGAATACTTTATAAAACAAGGTAAAATTTTTTTTATTTTTACACACATATTTTGGTTTATCTTTCTTCTACAATCATTATCTGAAAATTAATGACTCAACTTCAAAGTCACCCTGTATATATATATATATATATATATATATTATAATAAAAAGTTTTCCCACAAAAATTGGTGTACCCATTTTATGCGTCCATGTCTTGAATACCCTCTTTAACAGCTTGCAACAATAAAACCAGACTTTACAATTATTTCGCAAACCAGGGGTATTTTCGTCTAATATGGTTAGGCTATAGCATGAATGCGTTGACGAAAAAATGTTTGAGGGGGTGAGGCAAGACTAAAAAATATACTTATGTCTGACAAACGTCCGCCCATTGCATATTTTATGTAGGTATGTATGAAAGTAATTCGAAAACTTAATAATATATCTAATACTAATACTCATTATACTAAAGGTGCAGCTACAAAATGATTTATATCTTAAATTAATAAATTGTAATTCAGGTGAGGAGCTCATAGCTAACAATTCTCCGTTCAGAAATTTTGAATCTTAAAATAAATCTATACCTCACCTTGGGCGCCAATTTGCTACGAGTTGGGTGTCATTTATACATTTTGGGGTGTCAAACGTGGGTAAGTTGATAGTATCTATTATCTCCAGGTTCATATTAAAGGTATAATAACGACTTTCAAAGACTGCAGCTGAAATCAGTGCCATGGGCGCCCGCAGGGAATCCGGTTGGACATTAAAATTTGCATATTTAGCATTCTTTTGTGGGGAATGTGGCTAGCACCAGCTGTTCAAAAAGTTTGGGGCAGGTATACGAAAAGTTATATTTTGCCTATGATCGCCCCTCCCCCCCCGTGCCTGCAGGTGCAGTGTTATTATCTTATCGTAAGAATCTATACATGAATGTATGCAGCAGCAGTATGTATCTTCTGAATTACAAAGACCAGTCAGTTCATAACCTAATTTGAAAAAAATACCTACCTTGAAATGGATATCCAGAAAAACAAGGCCGGTGCATAATTCCAAAATTACCCGTAACAGTCATTTCGCCACACAGCGCGTCTTCGCAATATTCAAACACCTCCGGATAACTCACCGTCGCGCGCTTATTGCTAGTGACCGTCTGTCATATCACAACTTCCGGCCGTCACAAACGTCAACTGAAGGTAGTTGATTGTGCGTTGTGTTCACACCAGAAGAAGAACGCAACTGACTGGAGGTGTAGGATTGCGGCTGAGGACGCTGATTTGAAACCACGCCCATTCCGCGCAGCGCCACACCTCTTTATGAATTTGGGTTGCTTGGGGTTTGTTGAGGTTTGATCGAGGAAAAGTGTAGGTTAGGTTTGTGCTACTTGATGGCCGCGGGCGGGGTGTTTTTCGGTGCCTGATCATATCTCTATGATTTTATATGGTAGGTTATTCGTTATTGCTTCATTGGTCAATTATTAGTGGTAAAGATACTATCATCAATTGATTGTGTACTATATACCTGTTTGGTTTGAATAATCATCTATCAGAGAATAAAGGTCGTATAATAATCAAAATATTTCTTTAAAAGTTGATGACGGTATTATGATGGAAGATGCGGATGATGTTTCAAATATGATCAACGATTTCTTCATCAATGCCCCAAAAAAGCTTGTAGATAACACTGGTGAACAAAATTAAAATAATTTTTTGTAACATGGACAAAACAGGGTGGTTATTATGTAAAACGTACCCAAAAGGCAGAATAGCATTCGATTTTTTCTGTCAGCCACGGTTGCGATAATTGTCTCTGAAAGTCGTAATAAACAGAACTCGCATGTTTTCATATGATTCCTCCATATGAACTGCGTGCGCTATAGGTACAGATGGATATTTATTACTATTGTGTATCAATACCGCTTTTAAACTAAGCTTAGTGGAATCAATGAACAGGCGCCATCATTTGGATCATGTTTCTGTCCTAACGCGTCAGACAAATTGTTGACATCGGAGCGATATATCAACTCCCTTTCTTGACGGAAACACTGTGTGAGGTCTTGTTGCCGTTTTCGGTAAAAAGTAATGTAAACTGAGGTATCATGTCCTGAATAATAATATTGAATATTGACTGGCTAGCATGACCCATTCAAAAAATAAATGGGTGAACCTTTTTAAAAAGAATTGTATAAGCACGCATTTCCTCAGAAAATTTCACAGTAAGAATTATATTCGAAACGATGCATTGGCGACAGAGTTATGCGCTAAATCAAAAAAGTTTTCCATGCCATTTAAGTATGTATTCCAACTTAATTTTGAGCTTCGTCAAGTTTCTTTGTCTCAAGCATTTTTCAACTCATTTCATATTATTGCTGTTGCTTCAGAAAAGTGGGAAACACCATTTTTACGTGAATAAACAATTAACGAGAGCGATGATAGCTTTGTGGAAATAAATCAGATCAGATTTATCCTATTATTATAAAAATTATCATCAGGTACAGGAACCCAATTAGGTCCTTTGATTTATGGGCCTTTTCAGGGGAGGGTGTAATGCTGCAGATGGCTGAGGTTTATTAGGAACCATAAAACGTCCTAGAACATATTTTTTGTAGAAAGTCATATTTTTTACAATAGTAGATCACTGGAGGTATTCTTCGAAAATATCCGTTATCAAAAATGACCCCGAATATAGACTTTACAAAAGGGTATTTCCAATTAACGATATGCTATCGATATAGGGTTGTCCGATAGGGACGCAGGAAAGTAAACGTCAATTTGACATAGACGCCATCTTTGTTTTCTGTCACCGACATGTCATTTTGTTAGTCGAATGTTTACCATTGATCGCTATGGAGTCGTATTGGATTGAAGACCGCATTAAAGTTATTCAAGAGCACTACAAAAATGGTACAAAAATAAAAAACACGTTTCGCGCGTTGCGTGAACATTTCGGTCGCAACAACCGCCCAAACGAAACAACCATCGGTCGTCTGGTGCGTAAATTCGAGGCAACAGGTTCTGTGGCAAATCTGCCAGGCTCTGGCCGGCCAAGAAGCGTTCGCACACCGGAAAATATTGCTGTTGTGAAGGAGAGTGTGAGAGACGATCCGAAACAATCAACAACGTGTCGATCTCAAGAATTGGGCATTTCGAGAACCAGTTTGCTCCGCATTCTCCACAAGGATTTGAATGTACACGCCTACAAGATCCAATTGACGCAAGAGCTGCGTCGGGCCGACCATTTTGCGCGCCGAACGTTCTCAGATTGGCTCCTTGAACACCGCCAAATTGATGCCAATTTTTCATCAAAAATCATATTCAGCGACGAAGCGCATTTCACTTTGAATGGGACGGTAAACAAGCAAAACTGCCGCATCTGGGCGAACGAAAATCCCCGTGAGTATCAAGAGCAGCCGATGCATCCTCAAAAAGTGACTGTGTGGTGTGCATTGTGGTCAAAAGGCAGCATCGGACTTTACTTTTTCGAAAATGCGGCCGGGACGCCGTTACCGTCAATTCTGAGCAATATCACGTGATGATAGAGGACTATTTTTTGCCGCAACTTGAAGGAATGGATATGGACGATGTTTATTTCCAACAAGACGGTGCAACATGCCACACAACCAACGTCAATATCCATCGATTGCAGTCCTTCTTCGGTGATCGCGTGATTTCGCGCAGATAAAATGTGCCATGGCCACCAAGATCGTGCGATTTGACTCCCTTGGACTTCTTTTTATGGGGATATTTGAAAAGCAAAGTCTACGTCAACAAACCAGCCACCCTCCAAGAACTCAAGCATTCCATGTTGACTGTCTGAAGAGAAAAGTGAAATTTCCAGCATCCATTATGGTCTGGGGCAGTATGTCATCAAAAGGAGTAGGAAAACTTCATTTTATTGATAGAAATGTGGATACAAACAAATATTTGGCAATTTTAGAAGAATCGCTTTTAGCAGTGATGGAAGAATGTTTGACATTCGGCCAAGATTTTGTGTTTCAGCAAGATGGTGCAGCGTGCCATACCTCAAAAAAAGCTATAAAATGGATGGAAGAAAATCATGTACCACTTTTGAAATGGGTTTCTAGCAGTCCAGATCTGTCACCTATTGAAACATTGTGGCACGAGATGAAAAATGTTCTACGACAACATCCTGCTCGTACAATACCGAACTGTGACAAAAGCTTCAAGAAATATGGGATTGTTTTACAACAAACTTTTGCCAAAACTTGGTTAACACTATGCCCCAAAGAATTTCAGCCGTAATAAAAAATAAAGGTGATGTTACCCAATGGTAATCTTTCAATTGTTGTTGTTAACTTCGCGCATTTATTCGCACATTGTTTATTTGTTCAGATTAGTTATAGGTCTAAGTGATTTCAAATATGTATTTTTAACGACTAGAGTGTATCTAAAACGTTTTTGAGAAAATACATTGTTTTAGAAGTAAATAGTTTCGTCACGTTTAGTTTATAAAGGCGTATTTTGGTACAAATCTTGAAGTGGGCCAACTGAAGTGGGAAGGGGCTCGTATAAACTATGGTCCAAAAATGTTCCTTACAAAAACAAACAAAAATGGAAATTAATTAATATTTTCAGAACCGCTTCAGATATTTCACTGATATTTAGTACGTACTGAAAGTTAATGAAGTTATATTTTTCAAGTTAAATGCTGGTATTGGGGATTACAAAGTCGATGATTATCGAAGGACGTCCGAAAGTGATGACGCTTTGTAAATATGGGTCTATAATCGCGTGAAGCATGCGCTTTACCATCGAATACTAAGCAGAAGTTTCTGGTGCCCATTCCCCCATTCCCGAGTACAAACTTTCGTATCAAAAAAAGGTTTTTTTAATTGAAGTATGATTCATATTTTTCCGACAGATTACATTCCTCATAAAATTGGCAAAACGAGCTGATGGAACTACAAAAAACCGTTTGAACGCTGCTTTTACCTCGGTTACAGTGACAATAACGGTAAAGCCGTATCCACCGTGCTTAATGTTTTATGCTAATTTTTTGCTGTGAATAAGATCTATCATGTAAACGGTTTAATGAATCGGTTCTCAGGCGACAGAATACGTTTTGAATGGTCGATTCCCACGTTTCAAGCGCCGATAAAATGGAAGAAGAAATTAGTTTTTGATACACTTTTACCTCGTGAAGTGCGTCCATTGTATAGCGTGATATTAAAAAACGGTATGTTTATATTGATCTTGTATAGATCGAACCTTGAGGCGGGTTACTAGTGGCAACGGCGGATTCTTCTCGTCTTCGGGAGGGGGGGGGGGGTGGGGGTGTTGACATCAGTGTCTCTGACATAAAAATTAAAAACTTAACTGGCGGACGGATGACAGATGACAACCCTACCGTTGTAAAAATTCCTAACTCCAAATAAACACAAAAAAAGCAGAATATTAATTTGTTTAATTTTCCAATATTATTTTTAACAAATTAAATTAATTATTTACAACTAAAATGCTATTGGATAGTTAGGACAAACATACAAAATCTAAAGTAGTTGCTCGAAATGTAAACTCAATTGTTCAATACACAATTCACATCATGATCGAACGTGGTATAGCATTATTCAAATAAGGCCCTATTTCATCACATGCATTCCTGATTCTGTCTATTAGGATATTACTTGTGGTTACGAGAGTCTGGTACCCTTTTTCTTTTAGAAATCCCCACAGAAAGAAATCTAATGGATTTAGGTCAGGGGATCGTGGAGGCCAGGCGACTGGTCCTCCACGGCCGATCCATCCTTCTGGATAATTTTCGTCCAGCCAGTTTCTAACTATTCTCGAATAATGAGCTGGACAACCATCAAGCTGTAACCAGGCCAATCTTCTTAAATCTAACATAACAAAATCCCACATATAGTTGCATGTTTAGCCTTTAAAAATTAAGGTCGCAGCATTTAACCTTGCAGGCAAAAGGTAGGGTCCAAATAGTCGATTACGGTAGATACCAATCCACACGTTCACACTAAATTCAAGCTGAAAATTTCTTTCCCGAACTGCATGCGGATTTTCATGCGACCAAATATGTTGATTATGAAAATTTACCACTCCACGTCTAGTGAAGCATGACTCATCGGTCCATAAAACGTTACTCAAAAACTCCATATTATTATCAGTTCTATCAAGAATCCACTGACAAAATGTGATTCTTCGTTCTCCGTCCCCTGGCTGTAGTCCTTGCACAGGTTGCAAATGGTAAGGACATCTAT